AATCTTTAGATAATACTCTTCTGATGTTCTTAGAATAAATCTAATAGATTTGACATCGATTTTGTTAACAAAATCATGGATACTAGAACTACAGCTCTGCGATATATCTTTTGGTTGATATTAGTTTTTGAATTCTTTAATTCGTTGTTGTTCTTTAGAATTATTTTCATTATATTAACGAAGAAGACTAATCAAATGTGTTTTAGTTTTGTTGATATTGTGATATATGTACTTATAATAACTTGATCGAGCTGTTGAAGTCACGAAAATTCAATTCGTTGGCCTCGAAAGATATTCTACTCATTGATAATTTTGATCGACTAAATGGAATGCTGTCATTTGTTGTTCAATAAGATGAATTTGTTCTCGAAGTAATTAAAAGTTACTAAAAAATAAGACATTATCATTGACATAATTTCATTTTTCGTTTATATTTTGAATGTTGTGCTTGTTGTCAATATTAGAGTCAAATTAGATACCAATTGCTCCCTTATTACTACCATGATGTTTGTTTCTGATAAACGAGTTTGTGATATAGGTCAAAATCGATGTGATCATAGAAATAAATCTCTAAAATGAATTCATGTTTTGTAATCAAAAATCTTACACTCATAAAACTAGGGAAAAACCGACGAACTTGATGATTTTTACTTTATCAAAATGACGAGAAAGCTTTTGGTAGTATTAATTAGATGAAGAGTTATAGTTTTTTTTTTCATTCTATGCACACATTATTGTATAGATAATAGACAAGTATATTTCTTTTCTTCTGACTCATTGGCCTCTCATAACCGGATGACTTAGTCATTTTTTATAGAATAACAGAATGGGAACTAATCGTTGATCAAAAAAGAAAACTTTTTCGTGCTTGCTTTCGTTGAATTTATTATAGAAGAATAGCCTCTAATTACTATCAATCAAGATAGTAATTCTAAGTCAAACATTCAAAAAAAAAACCCGATCTATGTCAAAAGTTGAAGAACATATCAATCATAACAATATACAAGAAAATCATTGCATTTTCACGATTCATGATTCAAAAATCTTAGAAAAAACATCATAAATTGTATCTTAATCGTAAAAGTTATTGATAAACAATAATGAGAAATGTGTATGCTAGATTAACAATAATTAGTTACACGTAATAATACTAAAACTTGAGCATAAAATAATTCTTATTGAAAAAAAATAGCAAAATATTAGCTTTAATTTTAATATTAATATTTAAGTATTCAAATAAGTATTTATTAATGACAGTATTAATTCTATATAATACAATATTTCTAATGAAGAATTCTTTCAAAGCAAGGTTGTTCTCTTATTGATAATTTCCATCGTATTTTATTATGCATTCTATTAAATAAAAATACGAATAGTTTTATTAGATTTTGATTTTAAACTTATAAGAGGAACAAAAATTTTCTTTTTTCAATCAAATGGAACGACATTAAAATGTTATTTAAACAATTAGTTCGGCATTTGGATGAGATATTGCGAATTCCTTTTGAATTGATTGAATCTCTTCACTAGACAACAAGTTATTTTTGATATCGAGAGTTTCAAGATGAGGTAAATTAAGTATATTTTTCGGAAATTGAGATAATTGATTATCCGATAACTCAAGATATTTAAGTTTCTTTAATTTACCAATAGTAGGAGGAATGAATTTAAGTGTTGTATTTCTTAAATAAAGACCTTCCAAATTGGTGTATGAAGTAATTGATTCAATGCTTTTTAAGGGATTGTTACCCATGATTATGTACGTAATACGTTCTTTTTTGTTTGTTGTGGGTATTTCTTTGAAAAAATTGTCTCGGAGATCCATCATCAACACACCAGGCATTCCATCTACTTCCGATAATCGATTTTCAGGTATATCAAGAATCGTTAATTGTTGAAGTTTACTAAGATTCGGCAAATGAGTCAATGAGCAATTACTCAAAACTATCATTACAAGATTATTAAGTGTTCCCAATTGCTCTGATATTTTTAAGATAGATGTATCATAAATCCAAAGATGACGAAGTAGTTTTAAATTTGCCAAATTATTTGGTACAATACCTATATAAGCATTCAAAGTAAAACCTATCTATTAATATAAGAACATTACCATTATGAAAAGGTGTCATTCTAATATCTAATGTTTGAAGTTTCGATAAACAAAATACACTTGATGGAACTACTTCTTCGGCATAGAAATAAATTTTTTTGACGGAAACATCATTTTCATCCATAGTAGCCGTACTTTGATTATATAGTTCCTGGATTGGATTAACTAAAATTGGGAAAGGAAATTGTTGAAGAACATCATAATCACTGCTGAATTCGCTGCAATCCAATTTAGATGCATCATTCTTCGTTAAAGATTCTACAATAAATATGATAACTTCTCATTAATGAACGAGCAATATGTAAACATACTCTTATATCCACCAGTAATATGCGATTGTATTGGTCTTTTTGGCGTTAAAACAACAGAATTACCCGTTGAACATAACCAAGATACAAGAAGAAGTATAAAAACAACCTTGTTATAAAACATTGCAAACGTTTTTTTATGATGTTTCAACCAAGTTACATCTTAGTTACCTTATATATATATATATCTATTGAAAACTTGATTGAAGAGGCTCTAATTACAGAAAAAAAAACATACTTGTGTCTCGGAATTATTTATAAAAAGAAAATATTTGCATAGTATTTTCGTCTGCGTCAAACCAATTATCAACCAAATAAGATGTTACACTGACATACATTGAGAATTATTAAGTATCCTATATGGAAAAGAAAAGTGTCTAGTGTACGAAACGTTTATTGTGTTGCAAAATCCCCGAAATAGCATATTAAATTAAAGTTGGATTATTTTTAAAGAACATTGGTTAAGTCATCTTTTTGCATAGGGATCAAGGAAGAAACAACGCGCAACTACAACTTTTCGTTTGCCAATATCAATTTCATTCATTTGAAAATTTTATCAATCGTTAATTGATCAAGCCTGGTGAAACTGCGCTAATGTTATAGCTGAAACTTTAACACGACTTAAGAATGTTGTATAAATTGCTTATTAATCGAATCAATACTATTGATTTTCTATATTACTGATCTACATCAAAGGCGACTATAAGTTTCGTAGTAATTTTTAACCACAGAACGAAATATGTGTAGTTTTGTAGAGAAAATCTTCCTCTATAAATCTAGACATGTTCAGTTCTGAGATCAAAACCTTATAGCTGTCTTTCTCTCTCACTCTCTTTCAGTAAACATATCTCTTCGTTTCATTGAGTAAAGCTATCATTTTATACACACAAGCATGGATATTTGAATATTAAGGTCAACATCTTTCGCATATATTATCTGTTATTGTCATCATGAGAATTAAGAGTCTGAATAAAGTACGCTTATTAAAACCCATCGGTCGATACTGAGAAAAAAGAACAAATCAATGAGTAATTTTGATCCACCAGCAGCTATCAAGAATCGTTTGCGAAACTCTGATTAACTGTCGGTTTCAATTTAAAAATAAAAGTCGACGTTATGAAATAATTTTCGGCGAATACAATGAAAAGTATCGGTTGAAATATGATATAGAGGATGAGCATACATTAATATAGACAGTGCTCTTTTATTGACTATTTGACTCATTACTGTTTTTAACCTTGATTATTCAAATATTTATCAAGTAAGAAAGAAAAAGACCTTACTTTTTAAACAGTCTAGTTACTCATAATATAAAACAAAATAAAGCAAAAAAAAAAAAAAAAGACAACATTTTATGCGTAAGATAATTACGAAAAAAGAAAGCGAATATTTTTCTTAACAATTGATGTGCCTATGAAATAATAAACTATGCAACAACTATTGTTATAGTCGAAAGTAAATAATTCATACAATTTTTGAACTATTTCTTTTCAGTTATTTGCATGGTAACATTACAATCGAATATTTTCTTCGCACTATTTTCGCCGAAAATAACATCAGTTGATTTAAGAATGAAAAACAAAACACTCAGTTTTGCTTTTGAAAGCAATTAGTCTGTATTTGTCTTGATAACATTGACATGGCAAGTTTTTATGAAAAGAAAAAAACAATAATTTCAATAGTAATTTTAATTAATCTTTCATTGTAGAAAAGTTAGATCAGATTTCAGAAATTTTCACTGTTTTCGTCAAAAAAAGGTCTGTCAATATTCAAATTGGATTTGATTTATTCATTAATTTTTAATTCAATTATTTCATTTAGATTTCTAAAGATATTTAACAAGAACAGAATATTTCTTTCGCATAATTTGCTTAATCTGATTAAGAATGAAAGTATTTTCTTCATCCTCATTCTGACACTTCATTAGAATCCATCGAGTTAGTTCTGAACCCAGATCTGAACATTTTCTGTCGACTAGCTTCGAACATTTTGAACCAGACAGCCTCTATACCTCGCCGATCTGTTTCACTCATGCTTTCATATCCATATATGATGCAACACCTTATTTCTTTACTAATTTCTAACTTTGTATGAGGAAAAAATGACTGTTTTGGCATATTTTTTTTGTAAATAAGCTAAGGAAAATCGATATCAAGCATGACAGATGCCATCTAAATATTTTTTAGTCAAATATTGAGTTTCTTCTTATTTAAATGCTCTTTAAGTTTGATTTATCGACAACTTTTAACCTTTTTTTCTTTCCAACAAATACTGTCGGTGCTCTTTTGGGTATTTTTCTCTGGAAGATAACATCATGCTAATACCATCATTTGAGAGAATGAATAGTTGGACAAATGTGTGAATACATTCTGCAATTTCTTTTTCAAAAGATTCTTATCAAAGTAAAGTAATATTGGAAATGTATTCACCTGTTTTATGACGTCTGCTATTCGATACTATTTGAATAAATGAATATTCATCAATGCTTTATATTCAGTGACATGACAACATGTCATCTTATTTAAATAATAAGAAAATCGCAAATAAAATACTGATCATTAATTTTCAGCATAGGATTTCAGCGAATACTAATAAAAACAAAATAATTTGTGGTGTTACATAATTACAATGGTTTTCGATGATAATCTACTATTGAAAGACAAGTATATACAAAGGATAAAGAGCATAGTCTCCCTTCCTTATGAAACTGTTATTAAGAATGATATTCACATGGTCTATTGTTATTTGTGACGGTTACTGAATTAATAACGTCGATATGATAGTGACGCTGATTTAGTTCATTATTGGGTGTGTAAGAAAGATGTTAGCAACTTCCTCCGTTTGATATCAACCAGCCTGACCCGTCATCTATTAGCAAGTTCAGTCTAGACTAGATTATGAGTTAACGATTCAGTTTTTCGTTGTTGCTTAAAATTCTCTGATATGACTGGTTATAGTTAATTTAACAATAAATTCATGCCATATTATTGTTACAAAACAGTAAAAACTAGTTCTGCGAAATGCAGAATCATCGAAAAGAGTAAACAGCAAGTCTTTTCCGCGAAAAATTTGCGATACGAGTTACAAAAGGTAAAACAGGTTTTGGATGCTGGTTAGTCAAGAAACAACCAACATCAACACCCACACTTTCACTATTCTAATTTTCCACTACTTTGTCTTTCGCAATTTTACTCTTTGCTGCTATGCACTTTCGTTGACATGCACTTTTTTTCGCTGAAAAGCCTTTCGCTAAATGGGCACTGTATCCATGCTAAGCACCAAGTAAGAACCTACATGTGATATTAGAAAAAAAAATAAATTGAAATTTGATTCAGATTGAAAATTGATATCCTTCTTATAATGAGTACTATTAGTGTTTAGGAAAGCAAATAGAGAACAATGTTGCATGAGATAGTCGTGGTTCATAGCATTTGGATAATGGTTTAATTGCAAATTTAAATGACATGTAGGTCATCGATTAGAGAAAATTGGATCATGTGAAATATTTCATTGTGAGTTGTCATCATCTTTATTGTTAAGTTTCTGTTCATAGTTGAACTATAATTTTGAAAATACACTGAAATTTTTTCTTTTTCTTCTCATACAGAGAAGAAAGACGATATTGTTCTTGTAACATTTGTCTAGAAAATCATAAATGGAAGAGGTCTATATTTAAACATGGAGGTCTCAAGTTATTAGCCGAGCTTGATAAAAAAAAAAAAAATCTTTTATAAATATATATGATGTGCAATAATTCGATCATGATTAAAATGAAATCAATTTATCATCTTTATTTCGGAATTTATCCAAAAGGTCATCTATGAAATTCGATCAAGAGAATGTGCTTTGGTTTTTCATGTATTTTCAATCACTGCGTGTTCTACGTTGTTTGAATAATACAATAGAAAAATCATTCGAAGCATTGTATAATATGGAAACAGATAGTGTTAGATCGATACTGTTCCAAAAACGCGATCATTTCGTACCTCAACGATTCTTTTGTCGGACATCACTTGAATATAAAGAAGTTTTAGATGATTTTAAACAACCGTTTTCATTAGGAAATCATCAACCATCAATATTGAGAAATCAAGATTTGTATCAATGACGGATTAATTGGAAAGATTATTATAGACAAAAACGGTACGCACATTATCATAATGTACAAGTAATTATCTGGCTATGTTATCTCAAGGATGAACTACTAGTACATATTTAGAGGCAGTTGTTATTCACTGAGAATAACAGAGACGAAAATAAGATCTGTTTTATTTAAAGAATAAACTTATTGGACTCATTTATTAGATAACTTTGAATCGTATTTAAAAAAAAAGATTTTTAGCTCAGCCCCTTTAGAGCTGAAATGTGAAATTCACATATACTCTCTAGCCTCATTAAACTAATATAAAATACGTATAGTGATAAATCTCTCGTAGACTAAGACTCTTTTGCAAGATAATCGATGTCCAGGATAATATATATTAATCAACTCACAAATAATGATATTCATTATTTTTCAAAATTATAACTTGATCAATTGTGCAAAACAAAAAGACTCTGGAAAAGCTGATGCCTATTATTCTCGATTAAGGTCTGTAATAGGGAGGGGGAGAGAAGAGTCGTGAAAACTGGACCTTAAAACTTACATTCACTATTTTCTTCGAAAATATATGTGAGTTCCACAAAAGAATTTACGTTTTAATTGTAAGATGTCAAAATGCGTGTTTTGCATAGCCCACACATGCACATCGAGATAGATGCTATAGATGTATGTTTCCAAGAACAGCTTAATAGCTAAACAATTGAATATTTAAATATCTTAGCTGAATAGTTGAACAACTGAATATGTGATAGTGTCGTGTGGAAATGATATTTTTCCCTCTGTTCTCGTTCCGTTCTTTGTGAAGATTTCAAGAAAGGAAACGATATAAAAAAAATAGGCATTCTCGAGAATTGCTTTGTTTGGTTTTATGTATATACTCTTCGAACTTGATTCCAGTGGCGTAGCCAGGAATTTTCTAAGAGAGGCGCCCGATTCATTATGGAGGGTGCACATCAGCAGAAAAATAAATTTTTGTTTCTTGGAAAGACTTTTCACCCATCCCCCCCCTCCATATGCTTCTT